GGTAGAGAAAATCAGGAGTAAAGTTGAGCCCAGGAAGAAGGGAGGGGTGGGGGGAAGGTGTTTTAAGATCTGTTTTTATTTTCTCATTACCATACTCTGATTTGATTGGTAACCAATTAAACTGATTTCCCCAAGTCAAGTCTGTTTTGCCTGTAACAGTAATAGTGAGTGATCTTGCCCTGTCCGTATCTCAACCCACAAGCTTTTCCTTGTAATTTCTCTCCCCTGTCCAGCTGAGGAGGGGAGCAATAGAGCAGCTTTGGTGGGCGCCTGGTGTCCAGCCAGGGTCAACCCACCACAGTCACTCATAACTTCAGATGTTTGTAGAATGGCAGAAAGTAATTGTGTTCCCATCACAGGACTCCGAGAACGCACACCTGTAACTGACTTTGGCACAGCGTAAGAAAATGAGCGCGTACCTTCATTAGAAACAGAGACTTCGTTCAACAACAGGGCCTGTCCTTGCAGGAAGGCAGTTAACTATCCCACTGTGACCATGTTTTTATCCACTCAGCTCCCACAGACTTCAGTTTTACGTGGTCCAGTTTAAGACCACATTCTCCTGAGAGTCGTTAGTCTGATAGAACAGTTGCAGGACCTACACAAACTTGCATAATAAGCTGGGGTTGGCAAACCACCATGCTTTGTATTCTGCTGAGTAACTACTCTGCTTCTAAAATACTGCGGCATCATTCTCATCTCAAAAATAACATTTCCACAGGCTGAAAAGCCCATATCTGCCTTCAGCACGTAGTAATTCCAGAGATAATTCAGCCCAGCATAAAGGTGGGGAGGTTTATCTGGAAGCCAGTCTCAAGAGTCTACTTAGTGTAGAAGTAGCAAGAGATGAAAGGCATGTTTTTACGTCATGCCCAGCAACAAAGACAATTCTGCTCTTGCCCGTACTTAAATACCAGTCCTTGAACTCTCAAAGCCTTTGTAAGAGATACAATCTATAAAGTTATCTTGAGTCACGCAGCATCTGCCTTTAAAGTGGTATCAGCTTTTCAGAACAGACACCCCTGTGTCTTGAAAAGCAAATCACTATGAACTGAAGCAGAAACTAGATTCAGTTCTTCATCAACTAGTGTCCTTTAAAAAAAAGTTAGTAGATAGTTTTCTTAAAGGATCTTCACAAGAAGACTCCTTAAACAAAGCTGCTTTGGTCAAGCATATCTCAGTCAATTATAAAGTTACCTCAGCACAGACCATTATACAAAGAACAACATTCTTTTCAGCCAAGCTCCTACTCCTCAGGATCACGCACTAATGCTCAGACTCTTGAAGGAAACTGGACTTGTGCAGAACCTGCAGTCCAGATAAGTTATTCAGGAAACACACACCTATTTGCTATATATTCATTTTTCCACTTTAGATCTCAAACTTAATTTAAAACGTGGTTACAGTATCATTTCTGTGTCATAATTTTATCTTCCCCGAAGCTGGGAACAGAAGTGAAAAAAGCACAGGTGCACTGGGGGACAACGTGTTACCATCCTTACTGAAGATGAATGAAGTGAGAGGGTTTGTTCTGCCCCAGCAAGAAGGTTAATGCACCTTTCAGATGACACAATCCTTTAAGACCAACCTGTGGTAATAAGTGACCATCCCAGTCTTACTGACAGCATCCGGCAGAAGCCAGGGTTTCTTCATATTTATTACAGCAAAACGTTGAATATTACCCACTTTTATTCTGGGCAACTATGTATTTCTTTATAATGAAATATAATTATTTTGACAGTTTAAAACATTTTTAAAAGCACCTGCTTGGCTTCAGTTTCATTTCCCATTTTGACAGACTCAGGCACCAAAGGATCCAATTTTCCAAAATAAATCTGTCACTCTTAAAAGCGTTAGGTCAGGACTTTAGTGGAAACAAAGGCCTCTTTCATAAGGACCTCTAAAACAGAGACCTGGGACCAAAATTCTCACTTCTACAGATAATTTAAGACTCTTCCTGTAATCCAGAATACAGTTACAGAACGAACTACATACAGAGAAGCTCAAGGTTAAAACTCCTAAAGCAAAACAGAAGTGATGTAGTTGCACGTAAGAGAGAGCTCAGGCACAAAGTCTGCTTAAGTGCTGTGCACAAAGGAAGAACTGAAACCGAGACACTCGGAGAATCCAAGAAGCGAGAACACCGCAAAACCAGAATAAATTCCATGGGTAAACTAATCCAGTTTCTTTGTACAATAACAAGACCCATATTCTTTATTAAACTATTCTTGTGAAACACAGCAATTACTGAAGATAACTAACGTGCAGCAATGAAGTTATTAGCTATAGCAAGGAAAAATGTCCCTTTTTTTTAAAAAAAAATATCATTCCACCTCTGCACAGGTTACCTGTCTGTAAGTGCATGGGTTGCCGATCTGCTCCTGAGCTGCCCACTTGCAGCCTGTCAGCAGCACCGACTCCGAGCTGGTGACCAGAAGCCTTTGCCGACGAGCTGGGCTGCCAGACGCGGTGCTTCCTGTGCAAGGCGTTCAATCAGCCCTTCGCTGCAGCAGCCATACTGAGCCATTTTCGTCACGTACCACTGGACACACTCGAGTAGGTGGCAACAGGATGGACTAACTCGTTGACAGTTTATTAGGAATGTGGTCGGTGTACATATGCACACTCTCAACGAAAGCATAAGCAAGAATATGCAGAGCTTTGAGTTCACAGCTTTTCTGCCATCCCATGAACACAGTATTGAAGTTGCTGAAAATCCCAGGACAAAGCCAAGAAGCACCTGTCTTTTCCTAAAGAAGTTTCCAAAAGCTTTTTTCTTTTTTTAAGCAGTAGCTTTATCAGTATTCTTGTGTATTACGACTGCAGAGAACCACCACAGTTTTTCTGTAAGTATATGGAGAACAAGCTTAACAAGACATGCTCTTAAGAAAGTAGCATTAACATTACCTTATGGCTTTACAGAAATAATTTACAAATTTAGAAAAATGGAAATCCATTTTCCTGCCTCCTTGCCTTCACAACTGCTACTCTAATATTTAGCATGGTAATTGCCCCCCTCTAAAACCTGCTCAAGTACATAGCTTAAGCCTTTCAGCCTCTTGGTACACCTTCTCTCTCTCTCCTTTTACCCTCCATGCACAAGCAAACACCACTCAAGCCTTTCTGTACCTCAACTCACAAAAGACATCTACATGCCAAACCAACTTAGCAGATATGTCCAAAAATTACACTGAAATAGCTGCAGCCTTTTCACCTGCCAATTTAACGGCTTAAATCTTCGCTTGTATGACTTTCTGTAGCAACAATTCACACTGCAGAACAGTCTTCTAGACAAAAATGGTTTAACTACTTAATACACTGTATTGCGAATACCAAGATAATAATTTGGAGCATCAAGGAAAATTTTCAGCCTTACAGTATCTTATTAAAGTTTAACTATGAACAAAGTTTAGCCTTCTCTCTGGGTTTACCTGTATTTGAAAAGCCAATACAAAAAGAAAAATGTTATATATGTACCAATCACTCCTGTAGTCGAGAATTTAAGTAGCCACTGGGAATACAGCACTGCAGTGTTTTCCAACAACACACAACATTGTAGGTTCAGCTGAAAGGGTACTCTAATGCAATATTCAAGCCTGGGTTTTTTCCGAGCCCTTGGCAAACGTGGGAACTCCACTGCTTCCAAGAGGCGAAATTATTTTTATGTAAGTGACAGCAGGTAGCTATGTAAGTAGATTATTTTGTTCTGTATAAATGCCACCACAGGCAAGTCTCTGTATGGCTCTGCTTTCCTTTCGTGGCTTGTTTAACCCAAAACATTAGTCCTGGACAATTCTAGTTAGACCAATAGCATAATTACATTAAAAAAAAATCCATCTAGTTTTAAGTATGCAAGATCTAGTCAAAGCAAGTATCAATTTCGGCTGCTGGGTTTTTGAGCAAGAAGCCTTTACAAAAGACAATTAAAGCTTCCATCACCCTACCAGAGGTGACAATGAGAAACAAGTCTAAGCCACAGGAGCATTGGTCTATTTTTGACAGTGGTATTTAAGTATTTATTAAGCTGGTTTTCATCCATTTATTCAGTTGGCTGACATCCATCAGCCACATGTAACATTTGAAAACGCAGTTAGCAATTGCTAAAATAAGGAATCTGGATAGTGTTTGGCTGCACTTTTTCTATTAACATAATAGGTAAGAGCTGCTAGAATTTGTCTTGCTGATATACTTCAATTCTGTCTGTAGCAAAGATGGGAAAAGATCCCCTGCTAGTATAAAATAGTTCAAGTACAGGAAAAAAAGCCACTATTTTTTTAATAACAGTATTTGCATAAGCAGAAACTCCCAGTTTCTTACTGATCTCTAGCAATATTCACGCAAAGTTTTACTTTAATTTTTAAAATACAGAAGTTTAATTATTTAGCCAATATAAGTTCTACAAACTGCATCACAGATAACGTTGCACAGCTTATGACCAAGATCAATACTAAAAGCTAAAATCTTGCTAGTGACAGTGCTAATACAAATTGGCAATTTTAACATCGCAGTTCAGAAAACATCCATCCTTCTAAACCCCACTGATGTACATCATTTAATTAAATATTATTAGATCCAGACACCATGCTACAGTATTAGTCAGGTTAATAAACCTTCTCACTGTGAGAATACACCAGCATAAGGTATGAACACAATGAAATCCGTATGATGTTTTATAGTAACTTTCCAGAAATATACTTGCAGCTCACCAGATTCAGATTAAAGTACTGTAGATTTAAAATATTTAATTGTCTTCTTAGCATACCTAATGTGTAAGAATAGTTTCTTGTTCAATTCCCAAAAATAAATATAAGCTTTCAATTGAAAGCATTTATTTTCCTAGCTTTCCAAAGTGGAGTCTGGGGGATGGAAAAAATGCTTCAGACTTGTGATCAGTCCACTTCAGTCCACAAAAGCATCTCCTGTCCCAGTATGCGTTCAAATCCAAGAGATATTTTCTTCCAGTGAAATACGACCGGAGCACTCATTTTATTTTCAGCAATTCAGTCTGTTTCCATGGCAGCACTGCGGGATTCCTTAGCCACCATGAGTCGCATTAACTGACTGTGGAACTTCTCGATCTTCTTTACGTCTTGCGCCTGGTCTGTTCTATACAGCAAACACTGGAAGAGAAAGTTGCTTCATGTCAGATTTCACTTGAACTGTTTTTATCCTGTTTATACTTGCAACAAATTTGTGCTTGGAACATACAAAACAAGGAAAGCACTTAAACGTTCATTTCTGGCATGTTGTTACCATGAGGCATCACCAACATAGATCTACCCTGTTTTAAAATACACACACATCTGTGTGTGCATTTAAGTTTCTCTAAAAGGCTGATGCCTTCCATTTTGACAACAGGGAAACTCATGATTTATCCTAGTTTCTTCTCTCTCAAAAAGGTGCTAAAACTTGGGGTTTAAAGCTGCCTTTAAGGACACTCCTGTTTGTGATGTCTGAAAACAGAACCAGATTTTAAACCTGAAATTAGTTTCAGAATATAGAAAATAGGAAAGTAAGTTTATTTTGCCTTTCACAGTCCTTAATGTTCAACTGCCAGTGACATAAAATCAGTTCAGTATTTCCCACTGAAGGGGATCCTTTCTCCCAAGCCAAATCTGTTTCTAAGACAATCCTAAATAAGGAACACAGCATCTGATTAGGATAAAAAGGAACTCCTTCATGTGACAAGCCTGTAAATGCAAAAGGAACAAGAGTAATATGCCAGCGACTTATCACAGAAAGACTGCTTAGGTTTTTCTTTTGCAGACTAAGTAATTCCTTACGCCTGTACACTACGAATACGATGACCCAGGCTGATTTAACAATGAAAAAACCCAGAATGCTCCATTCTTCAATGCTGTCAACACAGCAGCTCTCGCCAGCATTTAATTCCTATTTTAATTTTGAGACAAACAGTAGAAAACGGTTTATTTTTTCCTTCAGCTATATTATTTCTACAGATTGAGCATCAAGGAAAACTTCCCTTCCTGCCTTTAGGAAAAAAAAACAAAACAAAACAACAACAAAACAATCACCAAAACCCCAAATGCAACCAATCTCCTGCCCCCCACTGTTGTAACAGCTTTCCAGGACTGGAAGCAAGTAAGAAGGCCTATAACTGAAAAGAGTTCACATCCATAAATCACCTGACTCTAACATCCCCTACGGAAGATTTCAACTGAATTGCCCTCTCTTCCTCCTCTTTCCAGTGCCCCATACTCAACATTTTACCCACATTAAACCTCATTATCCTATGAAAAAGTGTCATTACTGGAGTTCCACACCTCTCCCAGTTACTGGAAACACCAGACTACTTTTCCTAGAAAGAAGAAATCCGATTTTTTCCCCAAGTCTGAAGATAAGAGAAGGGCAGACTATTGTTGCTTACTCTGGACTAGAGAACAACAACAACGTGGCTATAACATCACCAGCACCCAGAACCTGTCGCTGGCACGCACATCAGCGTGCACACACTGATGCATGCTGGTGCATTTCTACCTGCTGCCCATCTTCTCACATCCTAACCCCTCCCACACTTCCAAGCACCCTCCCAGACTACTGAGAAGGGCAACCAGTAAGGGCAGCTGCCCCACCCCTTTGTGCAGCAACCCTTGGAAGAACACTACAGAATTCCCTGTTGTGTGTACATTCTGTGGTTTTTACCGAATGCCTAACTGACACAGTATTTCAGAAAACGGGATCCGCAAGTGAATCTTGTCATTCGGTCTCATAATCACTCCACTGTCTCATAACCACAAAGGAGGAGCTTAACCTACGGTTGGAAGCTGTCGCCACTCTAAGTAAGAAATACCACACTCACACTAGTAAACACATCTGTTAAAAGATGCTCCTGAAACGCTTCAGCAGAAGCTACCAATGTTGTTCCATGAAGCATTTTCCAGACAGAGGGAGGGTGCCAGATTTTTGTAGCGCTCATTTTCCTTGTTTCCACAGAATCCTGAAACAATTATGTTGACACCCATAAAGAACGCTGAAGCATTAGAGCTTTTCCTGGACTGCGCAGAGTTGAACCACAGGTCAATGTCAACCACAGACACAGCAACTAGGGAAGGCCGAGCACAACAAGTTTTTCAGAAAACTGTCAGGCACTCTCAAGGCAATGGTTAGAAGCTCCCAAGTTGACTGACAGCAAAATGCAAGTTCATGAGGTACAATAAGCTCCGAAAGGAAAACATGTTCCATACTTACAGCTACATCATCTGTTACTTTGATACAGAGGTTCCCATCACAATGTCGATATTTGAGAACAACCCGCACCTGAAATGACAAACATTTTAAGAATTAACATCTACAGCTAACGGTTCTCAGAACATATCTGAAGGAAGTCTGCCCAAATTCAGACCACCTTTTATTATTATGTACTGCTACACATTTTCACCACCTCTGTGGTGGTCCTCAGCTCTGCTGGCCACTAATCCTACAGCCAGGATGGTGTGGAAGTCGAACGACCACATTTACCTGCCTGACACGTTAAACTGGTATTCTAGCAGCAACAGGAAGCTTAACATTGGGCATGTTCAAAACCACTGTAAATACAGCAATGACAGCTGCAGAGACCTCAGTGACAGGTAAGATAAACTATGAGAGTCATGACAACACAAGACACCCCCTCACCATATATCACACTTCAGAAAAACTAACTGGAAGCTTGTGTTTGTAAACTTGAAACACTTAAAAAAACCCCATCAATTCTAGAAGGAGACTTGAAAGGGATTAACTGAGCGGGGTAAGCTTAACATTACCAGTGTTTCTTCTGCAGTACCTAAACTATTACCTAAAAAAAATTATATTTCCAGTCACTAGAGTTATTTCAATAGCTGCAGTGCAGCCAGCAGACAGATTTGAAGTGTTCTGATGTTTTTGCAAATGGAAAGGGAAGAGACAGAATAACACTTTTAGAGTAATTAAAAATCCAAGGACTGCAGAGAGTTCTTTCTAATTAAATCGCTTTCAAGACTCAGTAAGGCTAAATTCAAAGTCTGGGAGCAAGCATTCAACTTCTCACTAGAACAGTTACTCCTGTAGTCACCTGTCCTGAGCCTCAGCCTGCCCACAGTCCCTCCGGACTCTCAAATCACCAAAGTTCTCAAAGCCATGCTGATAAAATCAACATCCTCAGTAACCAACTGAGCATTAAACGCTTCCTCCTGAATACAGAACTGGCCACGCAGACTTTGTATCTATTGTTTCCAGCCTCAGCTAGCATCAGTAACTAGAAACAAAGCAAAGTGTCCTTTAGGAAAACATTGTGAACTCGCACTATAAACACATCTTTGTTGTACAGAGCAACCTGTGCTAATGGTCAACAACCTCCTTGACTACAAAATATATTTTGAAATTCCAGCTCCGAGATGGATCTCGTTGACAGATTTGTCCTCCCTGTTTAACAAAGTGCCATCTTCCCACCACAACAGCCATGTAACATCACAAAGCTCCACTGAGCAGGCCCAAAAGTACAAGAAGAGGCTGCCACAAGCAGCAGGCAGAGACTAGATAGATAACTTGCTCCCGCAAAAGGCGAGACCACTCACTGCCTAGCCTCACCAGCCCACTAAGAACGCACACTCATCTCCCACAATTCTTGCTTGTCCTTCAGTTTCCTGAGGAGCCACATTACATACAACAGCTCTTCAGGCTAGTTGTTTGACAAATTAAAAAGAGGGTACTTGTGCTGTGACTCTGGGGTTTATATAAACTCCTTTGTAAACAGACAAGTTTATTGCCATGGAGGGGAACAGATTGTCTTTGGAGGCCCCTTAAGAAAAGGGGAAGAGCAACTCCTGGCTGCACTGACATCCCTCCCCAATGCTTTCATTTAATTGAATGTTACAGAGCATAAGAACGTAAAACAGGACAATTTTATTATCATTAGATAGATAGCAACTGCATATGAAATGGTCACCTATGCTAATTAAAGGCAGATGCTAAACACTACTTCTGAAGGTTTCTCCACATCCCCTATTTTTGGTAAAGGGAACTAGGCCTTTTTTACTAGAGGTTTTCCCAGGTATATGAGTTCCCCATTGCCTTTTGTGCTGCTTTTTGGCTGAACTGTAATGCTTTTTCTGAAGACTGAAGTTACTTTTAACATTTGCACAAACCATACTCCTGAAAAAGTTACCAGAAACAAAAAAGCAGTCATATACCGAGAAGTTAATTTCCTCTTTAGGAAGCAAACACCTCCCAGTCCGAAGTGACACTGTAGGCAATGACGCAATGCAAAAGCCAATGAACGGTTTCTTTTAATTTTTCAGAAATACAAATTCAAATGACATGGTCTTAAACGTTGTAAATTCATAACATAAACTAATTCTTGATACGCTGTTGATTCAACAGAACTCCTAATCCCGGTTTCTAACACACAGGTACTATGTAAGTAAACGCAACGTCTCTGACGTCGGGTTCTCGAGGTTCACACCTGTCGCTGATGAGAACACCTGAAACCCTGTCTCCCGTGTACGTTTCTGAGGTGTTAAGTGAGAACTTCCTCCTGTTTCACAGAAAACGAAGGTCAGCTGCGACACCCCACTCCCTGCTTGCTTCTCACCTCCCCCGCGCAGGCCACCAGAACCACACCTCGAGACACCCTTTCGACGGCTCACGGCCGGG